GAGGTAATTGCATGTAGACTTCTTCCTGTAAGTCTCCATTTAGGAAGGCATTTTTAACATCCATCTGGAACAAGGGCTAAGAATAACTGGCTGCAAGGGTTAACAAAACTCGAATAGTGGTCATCTTTGCCACTGGAGCAAAAGTCTCCAAATAGTCTATACCATAAGTCTGGGTAAATCCTTTTGCAACTAACCGGGCTTTATACCTTTCAATGGAACCATCATTATTATGTTTCACGGTAAATACCCATCTACATCCAATTGGTTTCTTTCCTTTGGGCTGGTCAACTAGCTCCCAAGTATTATTCCTCAGAAGGGCATTCATTTCAACCTTCATTGCATCTTTCCACTCAGGAATTGACAAGGCTTCTTGCACTGTTCTGGGAATAGGAATATCAGCAATGGATGTGAGAAAGAACCTGTAAGAGGGAGATAGGCGATCATAGGACAGAAACTGGGAAATACAGTGAGTTGTGGATGTGGTGCAACGCCATTTCCCTTTACGGACTGCAATAGGGAGGTCAAGGTCATCCAAAGAAAGTGAAGTAGCAACAGTGGAAGGTATCTCAGTGGGACCTGGATCTGATAAGGGGACTGTAGTACCTGGATCTGGATCCGTAGAAGGAACTGGGGCTGGCCTGGACTGCTGATGACCAAAATCAACCTGCCTCCACCGCCTATGATAGACTTTCAACTCCTGACACCTCTGACAACCCTCTCCATTACATCCCTCATCACTCAATGAAATGGGTAAAGGAACTTCAGATGAGTTAACCCCACTCTCACAAACCCCATTCTCACTACTCTCCCCCTGAGGAGAAACCCTAGGGTAATAGGGTACCTCCTCAAAGAAAGTAACATCCATCGAGACAAATCTCCTCCMRGAAGTAGGTTCATAGCAGCAATAACCCTTTTGATTTTGTGCATAACCGAGAAAAATGCATTTGGAGGCCTTAGGGTCAAATTTGGAATGATGAAGTCCAAGAATCTAAACAAAGTAGGTGCAACCAAAGGTTTTAAGGGGAACAGTAAATAATTCTTCATCTGGGTATAGAAGGGTAAACGGAGGCTTCATGTCAAGAACCCGTGAAGGAACTCGATTAATGAGATACACTACTGTGGGAATAGCATCGTCCTAGAAACGGATAGGCACATTGGAGGTAAACATAATGCTTCTAGCCACCTCCAAAATGTGCCTATTCTTCCTCTCGGCAACCCCATTCTGCTGTGGTGTACAAGGACAAGTACTCTAGTGAATAATCCCATGATCAAGTAGATAAGAGGCCATTGGCTTGGTAAAGTATTCTCTCGCATTATCAGATCTGATGATTTTGATTTTGACCCCGAAATGGGTTAAAATCATTTGATGAAAGGTTTGGGTTAGAGCAGGAACCTCATCTCGAGAACGCATAAGGTAAACCCAAGAAAAACGGGTATAGTCATCAACAAACAACAAGAAATATCTGTACGCCCCCATAGAAGGGATGTGATACGGGCCCCAAACATCGGTGTGCACAACATCAAAAGAATTACTACTTCTTTTATTACTCAAGGAATAAAGATGTTTTACAATGCTTTGCAAGCTCACAACTCTCACATCTTAAATTTGACATCTGAACAAACTCAAACAAATTAGGAAACAAACTCTTCAAAGACCGAAATGATAAATGACCTCACCGATTATGCCAAAGCATAACTGGACTAATAGACTGAGAAACAAAAGACTTCTTATCTTCATGATCTTTCCAATGAGAACTCTCTCCAAGCAGATAGATCCCATTCGTCTCATGGCCAGTCCCAAGGAAGAAGGTTACTGAACAGTTCTGATGTTTTGTAATACTACTGACTGAAAGCAAGTTAGTTTCAAGCTTAGCAACATGCAAAACTGAGGATAAGGAAATGGTATTAGACAACTTGATGTCTCCCTTGCCAGAAATGGGAACAAGGGAACCATCARCAATGGACAMTTTATCTCTACCAGAAGATAAGTGATAGGTAGTGAACAGTGATGGCAAACTAKTCATATGGTCAGATGCACCTGAGTCTATTACCCAACAATGTTCAATGTTACCTGGAGCTGAAGCATGATAAGCTGAGGTCCGAGTACCTGAATGAGCAAAGGCTGATGTGGAAGGAGCTGATGATGACTGAGCTGAATTCCCAACCTCCTTTTCCAACTTTGTTAGGGCAGCCCGAACAGCAGCTAAGGTGCCTAGAGGCGTGCCTTTTGTGCCTGATGAGGATGCAGAATCGGTATTAACAGCCATATGAGCATTACCCCTTTTGTTCCTCAGTTTTGCTGGGACTAGATGAGGGTGCAGTTTCCAACATGTGTCTTTAGTATGCTTAGGTTTCTTGCAATGTCCACACACTAGATCCCGCTTATCTTCCTTCTTCATATCCCTTTCTGTATCACCCCCAGACTTAGGCTTAACTGCTGCCAAGGCTGGTGGGAAGGGCTGATGCTGCATCATAACCTTCCTCCTGGTCTCTTCACTATTGCACCAATGAGTAGGCTTGAGATAAGGTCACACTGTCCCTTGTTAGTATCTGTTGTCTCACAATATCATAATCAGAATTCAAACCAGCTAGGAATTCAAAAACCCTATTAATCTCAACTTGTTTTCTATGAGTCTGTGCATCCTTCTGACTTTCCCACTCAAGTGCTTCCAGATGGTCAATTTCATGCCACAGAGATTTCAAAGTAGAGAAGTAAACAGTGACTGGTTTCTCTCCTTGCTTGAGGTTATTAACCTCACACTTCAATTCATAGGCCCTAGCAACATTAAGGGGTTGGGAGTAGGTCTCTTTCATGACATCCCAGATCTCCTTGGCTGCTTTTGCCCACAAATAGTTTCGGCTAATATGTGACTGCATAGAGTTGCACAGCCATGTCATAGCCAAGTAGTTCTCCTGAATCCACTTGGTATACATTTGGTCCTCCTTGGATGGTTCTTCCACATCTCCCAATAGGTAGTTAAGTTTTCCTCTACCCCCAATAGCCATCATGGCTGATTGGGCCCATTCTAAGTAGTTGGATCCTTCAAACCTCACAGTTGTAATCTGAAATGCAGTCTCAGACATATTACCAGAATTGCTAGTCCCAAAAACACCTTCCCCCTGATTCTTGAACTCCATTCTTGGTTAAGAATTAGCGATCAAAGGCTTTTAAAGCTACTGTAATAGAAAACAACACTTAAACAACTGATAACAGCCAGCCTAGGTCTTCCACAAACAAGGGGAAAACAAAATTCTGTATGAACTCGGTTCAGATCTGATCTGAAACCAATCGACAGTTCTGAGTGTAAGCAGTCCATTTCTTGATAAAGGTTCTCACACCCAAAAACAGGTTTTGAAGTTGAAACAAGTCTAGAACTCACATAGAAAACAATATGAAATGCTGAAACAGATTTAGGAATTACCCAAAAGGTGATAAAGATCAGGTTTGATCATAGGGTTAAGGAAAACTTGAAGAAATCTTTGTGAGAACAAAAACAATTCTCAGCCGCACCTTCCAAATAGGTCCACAGTCAAGTCTGGTCGTAGGGTTAAGAACAAACCCTAGAAAAAAACCAGAGAACTCTGATCGCCTCTGAGAAAATAAGGGAAAGCTCAACCGCTCCTTCTAGATAAGTCCAA